CCATATGACTTGGGTGAGCCAATTTTTCTCGGACACGCACAAGCGGTTATCGAGGATGCACATGGTGAAGTCTAGAGGCTGAAGCACACGGGGAAAGGGAGTTTTTGAGATGACTTGAAAAGTTTCGGTATGAAGATCCAAAGATAAAACCTTTGTTTCTTCACAGTCAGTGAACCAGTAAAGTGACCCATCTAAATACACAGGGTAAAAGCAAGGAATAATCCGATAAGGAGAAGCATGGAGAAGGTACCTCCAAGCGTTGGTGCTGAAGTCGAAAACTTCACAAGCGGTAATGTTGTCTAGGCCATATTCGGATGAATTACACAAGCAAACAGGCTTGTATGTGCCACTTACTATGTCTTTACCAAATCCAAGCTTGGGATATGGTTTGTCAATCTTTCCTTTAATCTTATAGCTGTCAAGAATGAGCAGTTGAATCCTGGAAAGAGGGAAACTTCGATGCCATCGAGTAGTAGGATTCACCACGAAACTCGGTTTGTCGATACTGAAAAGGCATATCATGCCGTCACAACTACCATGGCAAACCAACTTTCCAAAAGAAGGGAACCAAACAGTAGCAACTAAGGACGACCCCAAGATAATTCTTCTCGTCCTTTGAGAATCATCATCACCACGGGTCACGAAAAGGGCATCTAGACCTCGGGATTGTCTACGGCGGATAAACTGTCTTTCCTGGAAACGTTGGGACTCAATAGTGGAATTCCAGTTCTTGGATACAGACTTGTACCTCAACAGAGATTTCACAGGAAGCCTCTCGAGGATGAGCTCAACAACATCGTGTGGTAGCACTTCCACAACACAGGACCGATGCCTTTTCAATACCACACTCGATCCATCTCCCTTCGATCCCACAGTGGAACCATGTCTTTTCAACATTGTCTTGTCTCTCTCTCTCTCAGATTGATTGAATAGAAGAATTGAGGCTTTAGATATATATAACTACACGCACACGAGCTCAGTAACGACCGACTTCGAGCTAGCTATACATATAGCAATCGAAAAAAAAAAAAGAGAAAACTTCCATTAACAAAACGATGATTTCAAAACTTTAATCTCTATCCAGATTTTTTGATGCTTATCTTTTTTTTTTTTATGATTTCAAAACTTCCATCTTAATTTTTTTTTTGATGCTTATCTTATTAAAAAAAAAAATAGAAACAAAATATTACGTATTTCATCAAGCAACTACACATATTAGTCCTATGCATCCTGAGGGTTCTACGCCGAATTTAGCTGGAAGTTTCAGTTAAGATGATCATGTAAGATATCATTAAGAAAGGTGAAAGTGGGAAAACATTTGAGATGGATGTTGAAGCCAGATGTAATTAGAGAAAACCAGTACTTGTCACAATCATATTCCTCAACTTACTATGTGTTTGATCTAATCAAACTCTCCATGCATCTTTACTTATCATGACTCTCCATGCATCTTTACTTATCATGACTCTCCATGCATCTTTACTTGACAAATTTGACCACTACGCCACAGAGGACTTTATGCTATATTCTAAATTTGTACTTTTATATTTATATTTTTAAGTGGTTAAGGTTTTGACAAGAAATATAAAACTAAACCAAAATCTCATGTCAATTCGATTTTCAACACTCAAAAGTCAAAACAACTCACTAGTAAAACTTCTTTAGAAGCGATCCGAAAATCTTGTTGATGTGAACTATTGTAGTTTGTGATTAAATGATGGTAAGAACAAAAAAAAATTACTTTCCCTTTTCAAAATTTTTGGCTGTTTAAAAAAATTTACACTCCTCGACGTTTTTTTCGTTGTTGGGCTTCTCTTCGCCGTCTAGATCGTTTCATCGATGTATAACAAAAAAATGTGGTTTACATAAGAGAAATGTGGTTTTAGTTTTGTGTCTGTGCTATGTGTGCTAGTTCCTTTAGTCTTTGAGACTTTGAGCTAAACTCTACTATGATGAACTTGAATAATAATATTTCCACACCACCTTTGAGGCTTTTGGTGTGCTCTTTTTCGGTTATGGACGGTTTAGTGGAATACAATTTTCCGTACCAAATCGGTTTACTTGATAAGGTGCAACAGAGAGTGATAGGGAAAACTAATTTCATTCAAAATAACCATGACCAAAAGAAGTGCTATTTTGAATCCATATTCATATTGTATATCAAGGACGTCCTCAATTCCTTTTGCAATAACATGGATACATAATATTGCTACATTAAAAAACGTCTACAAATTCTGATAAAAAAAAATACTAAAAGAAGATCAGGCATGTTCCTTTGTTTGTTTTAATTTTCTTTTCATATGCAATACTTTTATGTTAATCTTTTTGCTATTTAATAATTTAGAAATAGAAGAAGATAAAGATTGAAGAATACTTACCACTCAATGGGGATGCGGTTGCTTTGGCCTTTTCTTCGTTTGGCTGATGATCCCTCCACCACCACCAACCCCATCTTTTGTCCTCTCATTTTATAATTCACAAATCTCTTATTGATATTAAATTCTTTTTAATCCTAGAAAAAATATATATATATAAAGTCCCTTTTGCCACTGATACCGATATTTATTTATTTATTTGTTTCCAAAATCATCAGTTAATCACAATATCACTCCATAGTAGTGTATCAGGAATCTGGAAGACGCTTCAGTGGCAAAGTCTCAATCTTTGTAAGATTTCTACGCTACCCATTTCAGTTTCTTATGTTTCTTTCCACAGAATCGTTTATTATTTAGGTTGCAGACAACATTTGTTTATGATTCTTCTTCTTTGTGAAAATAAGAGCTCGATCTCATTGCGATTATTATGTTCCCAGATTGTTTCAGATGTTATATAATGAATCTGAATCTCATAGTTGATGATTTAAGGATTGAAAAATGTTATCTTTTTTGTC